GGGTCGTGTTTCCGTCCCTCGCGCTTTTCCTCCCCCCCCACCCCCCCCCCCCCCCCATTTGTTACTATCTCATTTCATCATATCCGATGTCTTCCAAGTCTCATCAAACCGTTGCCAATATTAACCTATGCCAAACAGACACGCTCGTAATCGGAGAGATACGGCGTTTCACAATGGCTCAGTATTGCAATTGTATAACTTCGTGATCGTATGCGCAGAAATACGATCGTTTATGGACAAACAAAGCTCGTCAACAGTTTTCGATTTACTCTGTATTTCTTTCTATACGATTATATTTCTCCGTGTACGATTTGGAGACATACGATCGTCCAAAATGTGATTGGGAAGAGGGGAGTTACTTCATTTTGACAGTAAATCAATCGCATAAGGTAATCTATCAGCATACCACAGGATCTGTAATCAATCCAGCAATTTTGAAGAATCAGATATTGCCGGATACAACATATCCGGCGTAAGAAACACGCCGAAGCATTATGAAACCGCTCAGTTCCGTAGTTCTTCAGCGTCTTTTCGATCCTTTGTTGACTGTTCCGGCGATCGAAACGACAGACCCGAGATTGTATTATGAACAAAGTAGACAGGTATACAGACATAGATTTATTCGAGATGTTTGTTTCAAGATTTTCAATTTGAGATATCGAGACATATGGTTACCCGTCTCTTTTCTTTATTTCACTTGTGAGATAATTATTTTCCTACTCATTTGATAGAGAAAAGTCACAAGACTTTGTAAATTAACAGTGACAATATTGCCTCTACAAGAGAAAACTGTCTGGTACTTTTCTGTTTAACCTGATTTCAAAAAATCTTCTGATTTTTCTCTGAATTTTTTGGAAAAGTCTTCTGATTCTCTCCTGATTCTTCGGAAAAACCTCCTGATTTTTCTCCTGATTTTCTAGAAAAAATCTACTGATCAACTTCTGATTTTTTAAAAAATTGTCGTAAATGATGGATTCTTTCTTATGTTATCTTAAGCACGAACTTTGTAAAAGCTCGCTATTTTTTCAAATATTATGTTCTGCTTTCACTGTGTTCTGTGACTGTTCTATCTCATTCTCCGAGAAACTATGTCAATCACTGAAAAAATCAGTTCCATTCTGCCGTTCATCCAAGAAACTGCAGTCGGCTCGGCGGTAGATTCCTGTGTCTTATCCGTCTGTGCTTCAAAATAGTACAAATAATCGAAATGAAAACTCTAGATGTTTCTGTCATCAAACTCTGTTTTGTTCAAACAATGCATTGTTTGACTTTCGGTTCAAAATATATTGAAAGTCATTATCAGCTTTACTAATAAGTTTTTTTTTCTCTTCTAGATTATGACTTCCTTACCATTTGTGGATGAGCTTATAAAAGTTTGTAGCACAATTTTAACTCGTATCCAGTTATCTTTGACTAAAGTGAAGGAATTAAAAAAAGAAAGCGATGAGGAGTACGAATTGAACAATGACTTATCTCTTGTTAGAATTATTGATTCTGAAGAACTTTGTTTATTTGCGCCATCTGATGAAGTCAGTGCTATATTTACAGAAATTGCAGAACAAATTCAAAATATCATCAGACAGTTACGTCACTCGTCGAATTATACCGAAGTGATATACAATTACTTCCTAGATTTTTTATATTATTTCCATTTTATTGATGATCGTTTTACTGAAACGTTCACCGTGAATCTTCTTTCAACATTTAAACAGAACTTGACTATTTTTATTCAATCCATTGAAGCTTGCCGAGGCGCTCAAACTGGAGATATTACTGTTGTTAAAAAGTTCCTTACTGAAGATCCATCCTCCAAAAATCGACCTTTACTCAATGGACATACACTATTATACACGGCTACGATGAATAACTGTTTCGAAATGATTAAGTATCTAATTGAAGAAGCTAAATGCTCAGTCAATGCTCTGAATCAAAACGATGTATCTACAGATACGGATACACCATTGCATGTGGCTTGTTCCAACGGACATGCAGATATAGTTCGTTACCTTCTTGGTCAAGGTGCTAACTGTTATACAGAAAATAAAAAGAAAGAAACAGCTACGATCATCGCTAATTCTTCTTCAATTCTTTACGATGTCTTCTGCAATCATATAGTTCTTGATTACACTGGAAAAGAATCGGATAAAATCGATTTACCAACAATGACAATTGCTAATGAACTATCGTTGACAAATTATGATAGAAGTTCAGCGAAGAAAAATTGTGTTTGGGAATTTAAGTCATTACATGAAAAACATTGGCAAGTTTTCATGGAAAAGGAATCAAACGAATTAAGTACAAATTTACGAGACAAATCAGATATGAGCATCGATCTCGATGTTCAAGGTCAAATATATACCATATCGATGATGACATTTCTCAAAGAAGGCAATAGCCAAAATTTGAATGAAAATCGAGCATGGATTCGATGTCGCGGATCAAATATATACAATTTCGATGTTATTTCTCTATGGCAAATGATGCTCATTACACATCCTTCTGTAACCGATAAAATACATCAAGAACCACAGTTGAAAGCAATCACTGTACCATCAATATTCGATCGAGATCAATTTGATTATCATGTTAACTCATGGTACAATGCAGATGAGATGGTAAGTAAATCAATCGATGAAGCAATCAATCAACGTCTTCGGTATCACATGATCAATACCCGCCTTTTGGGAAAGATTACTTTCAATTTAGAATTGTTTTCTTTTACCAACGAGAGTGAAACAATTCAAGGAAATCTTCGGTGGCTACCGAAATTTGTTAATGTTGATATGAAAACAAAACGTATGACGCCTGTCGACAATTTTCAAGCGATTGGTCTTCAGAATAATCCACCAATACCTTTAAGAAATAAATTATTACGTGAATTTTCGATGACGAATGATCAGGATACTGGTTCAAGTGAAATATCTGACAAAAATGATAACTCGTCTACAATTGATGATCTCATGCCTGATGTAAGCGATAATTTGATGGATAATATGGCAGAAAATAAGAAAGAAGAAATTGAAGATGTTCCATCATTCATACAAGCAGAACTAGATACTGAATTAAAATTTGATAGCGATGAGGAATCAACTATAGACGAAAGTGAATCAAATAACTCAGCTATTCTCGAAAATATTCAAAATAATATTCGAGACAAGCGCAATGACTTAAACCGAAAGAATGCTGCTGTAAAACAATATGAAAATATCGTGCAAAGAGAACGTGACTTGTTAACGGATATTGAAAAGAAAAAAAAAGAGATCGAAAGTAGAGATGCATTAATTAATCAATTATGTGACTACTTATCAAACGCACCAGTATCAGAAGAATTCATTTCTCTACAAAACGAATATGAAAAACAAGAGAAAGTATTGAAATTACAAGTGGATGAAATGAATAATATCATGCGGTGTTACAATCAACTTGAAAGCGATCTAGTAAGTGAACAGAATAAAGTTCGACAATTCGAAAATCTTCGACGAGAAGAAGATCAAGCTGTGAAAGAATTGATTCAAATAAAATATGATATTTCGTATACTGAACATGTTCAATTACAGCCGATTATGGTCGAAAATTATCTCAAAACATTGTCTTACTCGGGTAAAACACCAATGCATGAAAAGAACATCAGAATTCATCCGGACATTCATCAAATACAAGAACATTTTATCTCATGGAATTTAGAAGCTTATTCTATTCATCATGTTACCATGAATGCTATTCGTTCTCGAACTGAAAAGATCATCAAACAAGTAGCAAGACAAAAGAGTTTGTATCGAAACAGAATTACCATCAGTGTACGAACATTTATTAAGACGATCTCCAATGTAAAACTTCAATGTAGCTCAAAGAATTGGAAAATCTTTGTGGAAATTTTCCAAAACTTAATCGATAATACTCGTGAAGAATTCTGTCGAACGTTCGATGTTTATATCGGGAATAAAGCTAAACATCTTGTCAACGATATGATTCAAAATGTTAACGGCTGGTGGAAACAACTGACTATAGAAACCAATAACTATTTGACAACTCATGATTTTATGAAATCGATTGAGAAATTAAAACGAGATGCTTTTCAACAATTTGTAATCAAGTCCAAGGAAAGACTTACATTTACTAATGAATACACAAAAAGATCTAGTGACGTGAGAGGTAATTTCTTTTCGATGCGAAATCAATAGATGAAGATTGTTCTTATCATTGTAGAAGCACATCTACGCCAGTTGCAATATTTGCTCGACTCTGATAGAATTTATTCAGGTCATCAACCTCATCATTTTTCCTTATTATCGTCCTTAATTCATCGAATTCACATCATCTTCCAGTGTTTTAAATTAAAATTACCCTTATTCGAATCGTCCGTTGATTTATTAGAGAAAATTCATGAAAATACCGTTGTGGCTATTTCGACTGCAACGGGATCAGGCAAATCGACGCTTTTACCTCCATTACTTGTCGTTGCTGGTTATGACAAAATCTTAATTACACAACCACGTCGATTACCCTGTAATCTTTTATCAAAAAGGGTTAACTCCACTATGGACAATTCTATTTTAAGTGATTGGGCTGTGTCTGGTGCCCGTTCTAGCAAGGTCTTACGTGCGCCTATTCTCTATTTGACCGATGGACTCCTTAAAGAATATTTATTGTATCGTGAACGATATTTGGTTCATCAAGCGAAGATTAGCAAGCATGGACTTGTTTTCTTCATCGATGAAGTTCATGAGCGTTCTATAAACATTGACCTTTGCCTTACTTTATTAGCTCGATTTCTAGAAAAGAATCCTTCAATCCATTCAAAGTTGAAAATTATCATTTCCTCGGCTACACTCGATCCGTCCATAGCACGAATCTTTCGTCCATTCAAATTATACGAAACAAAATTGGAAACATCGACTCTGCATCAGGTCGATAGAAAAACTCCTTCTACGGAGAATATCATCGATTTAGTTTCTCGATTAAATCAACAACTTGAGTGTAATGAACAAATACTTTGTTTCGTTAAATCAACACAAGAAGTGGCACAATTGATCAAATTATTGAAGCTAGTGAAAGGTTTGCCAGCTTTTCCATTAGTTCAATCGCAGCCATCAAATGAACAGCAAAAACTTATTGAAACAAAGCATATTTTCTTTTCTACAACAGTTGCTGAAACATCTTTAACGTTTCCTTCGCTCAAATATGTTATCGATACTGGTCTTATTCATATGCCTGTCTATGATCCATCAACAGATACAACTGAACTTTGTGAATTGAATGCAGCTGAATCAACAATCAAACAACGCCAAGGACGACTTGGACGAACACGATCTGGTGAATATTATCCATTATATACGTTTAATCCTTCCGACAAGAAATTTCCAGTCCCACAAATATGTCAAACAGAATTAGTTCAAATCGAATTTTCTCTTCGAAGGTCTCCATTGGAATGTGGGTTAGATCATTTAAAAAAATGGATGCCTAATCCACCTAGTGAAAAAATCATTAGTGCAGCCAGTAAACGCTTGCATCAACTCGATATCCTTGATAAAAATAAACATTTTACAGCAATTGGTATATCGATTTCTAAATTGCCCGATTTCGGAAACATAGAATTGAGCAAAGCAGTTCTAGTAGGTTTACAGAAATATAACTGTGGCCGAGATATCATTCGACTGGCTGCTATTCTTGGTGTACTGAACACATCATCCATTCTGCGTTCTATTCCTGCTCGTTATACAAAAGCTGAAGGTGATTTTATGACATTACTCACTGTAATGGATGTCGTTCTTGCTCAGAAACTCATTCAACCACCACATCTATTCGATATAGATGATGCTTGTAAACAAACTGGTCTAACAGAAATAGCACATATCCTCCAACGTGCTATTCTACGACATGAGTCATTTGAAACATTTTTTTTCTCATCAAAAGAATACTGCGCAGCAGCTCAGTGTTCATCGAATGGTGACTGGGAACCAATCGCTCGTGCTCTTCTCGATGGCTACTCGGACAATGTGTATCTATCACTGGCAGAAATTCAAGGTAGAAAACATTATTACCTTCGCTATACAGTTCCAAACACGACAGAAAAACAGCGAAAAGCTGTGCTCGATTCGACATCGAAACTTGCACGGCCTCTCAGTGCGCAGCCTGTTTCTCTAGTACTTGCTCGTGACATTCGCATTTCAACAGATATTCGAGCTCGATCGATCATCTCGATTCTCGGTGAGATTCAGCCAGATTGGCTTGATCGAGCTCTTGAACGTGACATTCCATTAGTCAATAAAGAAATCAAAATGTATAATGAACAAATTAAAAGTAGTCCAGATTTTATGACCATATCAAGCAATATTGTTTGTACTTTAAGTGGCAGTCAATTAACTTTATCAGGACAAGCCGGTTGTGTGCTAGCGACAGAATTACATGTACGAAACAAACTTGTGGTAAAGTATACAACACAACTTATTTCGGAAAATGAGATCGATCAATCATTGAAACAAAACGTTGAAAATCTAATCGATACATTGCATATTTTTCTTCCGATGGTATGGCGTTGGAAGGCAGAAAAACAGGTGAAAATAATATTTCTTCAGACAAAAAAAGAAGGTGAAATTGTAATAAAAGCTCGTGAAGAAGATTATAAGAATGTACGAAAAGAGCTTGATTCATTTGTTGGATGGCTTCGATCATGTAAAGCTTTACACTTGCATCCAGGTCTATCACCTCGCCGCTTTATTGATCCACAAACGAAACAACCATCGTCCGATATTGAAAGTCGTATCAGACGCATTACTGATATTACACTAACTTCAGTTGATCTCTGGCCACGAGTTCGAGGACCAGCAGCGACGAGAGAAACACGAATGGAAGTCGTAGCATGGACAGCAGTATGCCATTTTCATTGTAAATTAGAAGGCGGTTTTATTCGTGATTGGGTAGTTGCGAATCAGTCAGCTCAACCTCCATTAAGTACTCCACGCCAACAATGGGTTCAATTTCAAAATAAGATTCCGGCTATAGACAAAGCTTTAATTCCATCGGATCTCGATTGTCATTTACCCATTGATCATCATTTTGATATGGACCGGTTTCTTGATGAAATGCACAAGTTTGAAATACCAACAGAAGTATATCGGCAGCATTGGCGCTATATATTACTTTTTGATCGAGATTATCCGACAGGACCATTCACAATGGATCTTATCGAACCGCATGTTGCACTCACACACAATCGCATTGATTTTGATGTTAACAATCTATATGTCATGCGTGAATTCTGTGCAGAATTAGGTCAACGAGTCAATCTTCATGATCCACCATTTTCCATTGATCTTGAAGAAATTGTTCAAAAGATAAAAATGAAGCAATTTCGTGTACTACGACCCATTGATAACATAGTACAGACACGTATCGATAAGATGCTCGCACGTGGATGGCAAAAGACCGATGAAGATTTGAATTATATTCCACCACCACAAAACAATTTCAAATTTGTCTTAGATCCATTACCACAAAACTATCAGATTTACCAACAGGTTGAAAATGCGATGAAGCAAATTCCCAATGTAAAAATTCTGTCTATTGAGCAAATTCGAAACCCAGTTGTCTACGAAACCTATCATGCGATGAAAAAATTGATTACAGGTCAATGTCATAATGGAAATCCGAATGAATGTTATTTATTTCATGGTGCACCTACAGACGAAGCTGAAAAAATAATGACGATGGGTTTTGATGATCGCTACTTTAGCAAGAGTGGCTTATATGGTAAGTCGTAATATCTTTGTGTTCGAATTCGCAACAAGAAATAGATCACATTCGATGCATTAACTTTCTCAGAAGTCTTGAACTCATCACATAGTGAATCGTATCATAGTTTTCTACCATCATTTTGAATAAAATGAACCTTGCCTGTTTATCATAGGTCATGGAGCTTATTTTGCTGACAAACCTATTAAATCGCATGAATACACAATGGCATCAGACACGGATACAAGCCGTAAAATGTTTTATAGTCTGGTAACACTGGGCCAGATATTTGACACGGCAACTACGGACAGTTCTTTAGTTTCTGCGCCAGAACATTATCATTCCATACGTGGCTTAGCAAATGCTGATATAATTGAGTACATTGTCTATCGCAGCTCTCAAGCTGTGCCACACCTTCTCATCACTTATCAATCATAACAGATACTTACATTCTATCAACCACTAGTGCATGAAAAAAAATTGATTAACTTCATTGGATAGAAACAAAGTATTCTTACTCAATAACAAAAGAAATTACATTTCCTTAATTGTGCTGTAAAACTATCTGGTCAAACATTTTCCAAAGAATTCAATAAAATAAAGACACCATAGATGAAATCCACCTTAGTATAGAAAAGGCACGTACGTGCCACATTTTGCAATATCAGAAATATTCAGATTGATAAATCTACATGTGTCAAATTTAGACATTTCATTTTCATGAAAACTACACAACAATTTTCCAAACGAATGTTTCAACAGATGTTGCTCGGAGTAACAGCAATCAGCGGACGAAGCATGATCATGTTTGACATTTCACCGGTTTTTATGTTCTTCTTGACACCTAACTCTGATATTTTTTATTGCTCTGATTAGTTCGAAAGACGATATTTGGTAGAATACTCAGATGCAAACCAGAGCAGGCACTGCCAGTCTTTGTCCTGACACCCAGAGCAAGAAAAAATGATAATTACGAACCGTTACATTACTTCGAATTAATTCTCTCAAAGATAATGGGGCAATATCTTATCAAGCACGATTTTCTGATTACATCATTACGCTAGAGATTGTCATGTCTTGAGGACATAGGCAAAATGATAAGAGTGAGGGTGTAAGAATGTCAGGCGTGATCATACCTCGAAGTGTCACTCATTTCATCTATTGTAGTGCTCAAAGCTTGCGACACAGATTAAGTTGTATTTCATTTTTAATGCGAAATAAATTCTAATCAAGATAGTAAATCAATCCAGTATATTATTTTATGAACTTCCGCCAGAAACTGCAAAATAAGAAAATTACATTTTAAAAGTACTTTAATTGAGTCTGAACTGAGAAATTTGTTTCAAATTCAGTTCTGATCATCTCCAAACAAACTACAGTAATGAGTATCAGCGTTCTTCTTTCATTTAAAACTATTATG